TACGGGGTCTGCTACTAGCAGACCCCGCCACGCGTTGTTTCCAAATTCCAGGTAATTCGAGGGTAGTGAAGTTACTTCGGGACGATAACATGGTGAAAAGGGACTCCCAAATGAGCACCAGACTCCTTTCACCACCTAAGTAAAGCCTAAGTAAAGCCTACGTAAAAAAGTACAATCCCAAAGCAGGGTGTGGTGATGCTGTAACACCATCTTGGATAATTTGGTGTCACACCTTCCCACCACAACAGAATGTTGTAACGTAATTTCACTAGCATGTTGTGGAGTTATGAATGATGACCTTTGGCAAATAAAAGAGTTCACAAGCACTTTCGAATAGCACAAAGCTATCATTATCAGGTGAAAAATTGAATACAACTGTTTCCAAGTTTGGAACCATCAAACAGCTTATGGATTTAAATGAAGCACGTGGATAGAATATCAATTTGAATTTGAAATAGAATAAAATTCAAAAACTTTTGAGCAGCCATATGAGTATTGTAATATCCCAAAAATGTATAGTGAACAATAATAATGTATCAGAGATGTTGACTAGTTTGCTTACATAATGTTATCCATATTTGTGGGATTTCAATAGCAGTAGTGTTGCATGGTGTTAAGGCCAAGATGTAAAGGTTGGTTCTCCCAAATAAATAATTCGTGCCAATTGTTACACCCTTTTAGTAATTTTGTTTGGGCCCAGGGTGGGTGATAATCTTGCTCAAGCACTTTTTTATCTAATTTGGTTGACGGTCTGTTGTTTCTGATATAATCCTGATGTTCTAGGATGCAAGAAATTAACTTTCTGGCCATGGCCCCTATGTAGCTGGTTTCTTCTCCTGATAAATCATGTTTTAGTGGAATTTGATAGACCCCAGATTTTTCATTCAATTTAAAACTATCCCTATCGTTACATAATAGTCTTCATAACGTTGGTTGTGTGGTTAATGATAATATAAAACCATTCATTCTAAAAAGATGTACTATTTTTAGAGAAATGGGGCCTAAAAATGGAATCAGGGGATGGGCTATTTTTAGCTCCTTTTTTTGTTGTGAAAAGACTGTGAAAAAAGCTTATTTTTAACATAATTTTAGAGAAAATGGAATTTAGATCAAGATTTTTTTTTTGTTGATTTACAGTAAGATGCTTGTAAAAGGCCAACCTGGCCACAGTGTCTTTTGAGAAATAAGAATAAACAGCTTTTTGCATAGCACTGCTAATGAGTTACAATTCTCCTCTACTAGTGCTTGGTTGGAAGGTAGGAGGTAAGCTCTCCTAATGAAGGAAATTATGGCAGAGTTCATGTAGTTTTTGGGTTGTAAGGCTGTTGTTGGTATTTGTGATGCATTATTGTTTTTATAATGTACAGAGAATAGGAGTTCAGGAGATGTATGGATTTCTAGATCTAAGAAAGAGATTTTGGCATTTTGTTCTCCTCTATCGTGAAGTTGATAGAAGGATACATAGAGGCTAACGCTTGAATAAATTGTTTTAGATGTTCAGTAGAGCCTTCCCACATGCATAGTATGTCATCAACATACCATAAATACATAATCGGGTATTGGATGATCAAGGGGCATTGAAAATATGATGTTCAACGTTGCACATAATGAGCTCTGCCAACATAGGTGATAGAGGGGAACCCATGGCACTCCCTGTGTTTGTTTATATATTGTGCCTTTAAATTGAAAATAATTGTTTTCAGTTATGAAAAAGAGGGCTTCACATAAATGTATTATGTTTGATGTTGGGTAGCCCGAATTGAGCAGCAGTGCATTTGAAAGCATGATGGCCTCGCAATATGGTACCAATGAATACAAGGACTTGACATCAACTTTGTACAAGTTGTACGAATTAGTGGGGAGGTCTTTTAGTTTATTAAAAATGAATGCTTTAGCTTCCATGGAGGATGTGGTTACAAATGTGGAAGGAGGTAATAAAGCTGTAATTTGTTTAGCTATCACAGATTCTAAATGGTATGTGCGGTGGATGTGTTTATTGACTAAAGGTCTTAATGGCCAGTCAAATTTATGGGTTTTTGCCTCAAAAAATAATCTAGGGCAAGCAACATTCGTTGGTGGATTGAGAGGACCTACTAAGGAAGCAACAATTCCTGGAAGAGCTATAATCTTACGTGTCTTTCTTAGTATGATATCCGTTGGGTCCTGCTGTAGTGTAATAGATTTGGATTGCTTCAGAAATTTGTTGGCTCTTGCTATAAAATCTTGGTTTTTGCACAGAACAAATTTTTTGTCTTTGTTTGCTCTCTTTGGAACACTGCTTTGGAGACTACTCCCTAACATGAAAAAGGGATAAGGAGAAAGTAGCAAACCAAGATATATTCAGCAAGTTCTTCAAGATCTAAATGAAATGTGCAATACCATAATGTTGTAAATGCCAAAAAACAAACTTTTCAGGAGAGATAAAAAAAAACACTTTTTCTAGCAAACAAACTTTAATCAAATGCTAGAAAAATTATTTGAACAATTTACATTTTGGAATAATACAATGGGTTTAATTTCAAACACCTAATTATAATAGTAATAAAATGAAAAAAGTTTAAAAACAGGGTTAGAGCCATAAAGTTGTAAATGTTGAAAACAATTGCAGTCATAAAATGAATGTTTCTACGGCTGAAAAACAGTTTTGAATACCAAAAACTTACATTTAAATTATTAAACACAATTTACAAAAAATTCAATCTCAATTTTAACATTAATAACTGGCAATAATCTACTAGTTGCTGCTTCCTGGCTTCACCAATGTTGGGCCCACAGTTTTGGTACTTAGAATTGGACTTCAATCTTTATCAATTGTAATATAATTATGATAAATGAAAGAAAATATAAACAATAAGATATTCAGTGTAATAAAAGTTAAAATGTAATTAAAAATTTTAAATTTGAAAGATTAACAGAAGTCCGAATATCATTTTGAAAATCAAATAATAAAGTTACATGGGTTTACATATTATTAATCCAGTTACATATTATTAATCCAGCATTAAGTTATCCGATTCTGCTAGAATCTCCTTGAAATAGGTTTGTTCTGTTGAACTTAAAAATGTTATCAAATGTTACTTTTGTGAAATTCTAAAATGGGAGCGAGCAAAAGAAAGTGGAAGATTTTTGATATCATCAATGCTTAATCCATCTTTCAGTACATTAAAATAAAAACAATTTTAAATTTACTTTGCAATCATTCTAAATTTTAATAGAAAATATGTACAGGGTCCAATACAGTAAGCTTGGTTCCATGCCACTGGACTTTAATGCAATAGTATGAATTGCAGTAAAGCAAGTCACAGCCTTCTTTTTTCAGCCTTTCTTTTTTCAAATTGCCAAAGCATTTAAAAATCTAAGAACATATTTACACTATCATGTATTGCAAGTAAAATATTACCAGTCCTAAAGATGATGCAAAAGTAAAAATGATAAATATAAAACCCCCTGAATATTGCCTTGAGTGAGGGCAAGGCAAGAACCAAAAGTAATAAACATGAATTTAATAGTGCCATATTAGCAAAGCACTCTAAAGCAACGTATAACTGTATTGTATATTATATAAAAATTATTTTCAATATATTTCAAAATTAATTTATTTCAAAAACTATTTTAAATATTTTTTAAAATTTTTTACCTTTAATATTAAGTTTCCAGGTAATGCTTCTAACTGCACTGTAGCATAATAAGGAGTATTTATAAATATTGGCTTATTATCATTTACATCAAGTATAGTGATGTTAACAATTGTGTGAGCAACCCACATTTCTTCTGAATGTTTACTTCTGGCTTCAATTACAAGTGGATAACTATTGCATGTTTCTCTATCAAGAGAAAGTCCCGTAGTTCGTATAACTCCTGATGTTTTTCCAATGTCAAACTTATCTGTAGGATTCAAAATTTTAAAAAATACATGTTCATCTAACTGAGTACCAATTATATTCACAGCAGTTAAAACATGACTGTCAGTTACATTTTCTAAAACTGATACTCTATATATTTCTTGACTGAAGTGTTTGGAACTTGGTTGAATATCTTCAACAATAATAATAACTTTGGACTTTGCTTCAAATTTACCATCATTAGCTGAAATAACTAGATTATATTCTTTATTTAATCCAACATAATTTTTTACATAAATATCTCCTGAGATTTCATTAATTGAAAATTTCTGACCCCAGTTACCTGATATAATAGAGTACTTTATGATATCAGAATCGGGATCAAATGCATGGACGGATTTTATCAAAACACCTTCATACGTAGGCAATAACAAAACAGTTGAATATATGGATTTTTCAAAAACTGGTGGACGGTCATTAATATTGATTACTGAAACATGAACAATGGCAGGCACTTCGGCACTTAATTGAGGCCAACCATGGTCAACTACTTGGACGGTAAAAATAAATTCATTTATTTCCTCATAATCTAAAGGAAGTTTGGTTCTAATAGCACCTATAAAAATAATTTTTTATCATCAATACACTTCCACTCTTAATATAATCTATTTTTGAAATAAACAATATATAAAATATAACTATAACAAATCAAAAACATAATATACATTTGTAATAATAATCAAAAAAATTAATAATAATTGTATTAATATTATCTGAAGCAAGATAAGTAGAAACATTTACTGTTTCTTTCATACGTGGGCAATCCAGAAAGTAACTTATGTTTTGGCCGCTAGGGGCGTGGGATTGGGCTAAAGCCATCATTTTGGTGTCAGCGTGTCCCCTTGCTCATTTCACATTCAGCTGTGTTAGCTTGTGGCTTGTGTTGCTTCTGCTTTGTCCACTGTGAATTTTTAAAATGTTGCTGCAATTGAATTGTAAAGTGCAGTCAGTGATTAAGTTTTTGTTGGCAAAAAACCATAAACCAATTGAAATTCATCGGCAACTTTGTGAGGTGTATGAAAACAACATAATGAGTGAAGACAGAATGAGGCAGTGGTGCATTATGTTTAAAAATGGCTGCACTAATGTTCATTATGAACAGCGAAGTGACTGACTGAGCATTTTGACTGATGAACTGGTGACAAAAATCAATAGAAAGATTTGTGAAAATCGCAACTTCACAATTACAGAGTTCTCGTTTGACTTTCCACAAATTTCACATATTTTCTTGCATGAGGTGGTAATGCACAAGCTAGGCTACTATAACTTTTGTGCCAGATGAATACTGAAAATCTTGTCAGATGACCACAAAAAACAGCACATGGCAGCATCATTGACATTTCCAGAAGCTTACCACAAAGATGGTGACTCACTTCTTGATCATGTCATAACTGGGGATGGGACTTGGATAAAACACTTGAACTGTGAGACAAAAATCAGTCTATGGAGTGGGGACACACAAGTTCTCCCACAAAACCAAGGAAATGTTTGCAAACATCAGCAAGAAACATCATGGCGACCATTTTTGGGACAAGAGGGCATGCTTCTGGTGGATTTTCTCGAACATGGTTCAACAATAAACTCTGAGATATTGTGAAAAATTAAAAAAGTTAAAAAGAGTAATTCAAAACAAATGTTGAAGTAAATTGAGTTCCACGATTTCGTTTTTTCATAACAATGCCTGCCCACACATGGCTAATCACACTTGACAGTTCTTGGATGGTTTTGGATGGTCTTGGAGTTCTTTGATCATCCACCAGATCTTGCGCTAAGTGACTACCATTTGTTTCCACACAAAGTTGTGGCTTGCAAAACAGCGCTTCAACGATGACACAGAACTGCAGGTAGGCATGAATGTCTCAGGCAGCAAAATTCTGTGACAATGGAATTAATAAATTGGTGCACTGTTAAGTGCCTCAATTTGAATGGCAACTACGTTGGAAAATAGTTTAAGAATATGACTTTCGAACGTATATAATAATAAATGTTTCCTTTTACTTGGGTATTTTTTACTTCTAAAACATAAGTTACTTTCTGGATTGCCCTCATAATTTAATTTTTCTTTTTTTAATTAAAAAAATTAAATTACTAGCCACAATTCATTTTCTGCCTGAACACAAATTACAAATTGAGTCAAAGCACTAGAAAATCAATAACATTGTTTGAGGGCAATCTACTGTGGCATTAACATCACTAGCATAAAAAGAATTTTAAAAAATGTGCATGCTTACGTTAGTAACCTTGTATATCAAAAATGTCATGGACCCCAATTTTTAATGTTTTTAATTTCCTCATCTCATATTATGCAAAATGACAGTTCAATCAAATTTTGAGAACAAACTCAATACTATAACCAACATTAAAGAGGCTTCATTAATGCTCTGTCTCAATAAAAATTAAAAAAGAAATCTGTAAATATTTTATGTCCAGAATATTCTATACAAAAGAAAAAATAAATATTCTTTCTTAATTCATAAACCAAATGATTTCGAGCAGATACAGATATTCTATTTCGAATTTCAATTGTCTAGAACCACAGTAACCCAGTAACTATGCTAGCATTTGACACATTTTTCATTCTCCCTCTAGTATAAATGAATTTCGAATCACATTGTCTTAGTGATTTCTCTTCAATATTATATCTAAAAAAAGTTCTGTATTACATTTTAAAAAATCAAAAAAACATTTTTAGAATAAAAAATATGTCGAATGCTAACATAGTTACTGGGTTGCTGTGGTTCTAGACAATTGAAATTCGAAATAGAATATCTATACCAAAATCATTTGGTTTACTAATTAAAAAGATGCAAGAGAATACATTTATAATCAAAATCCCAGTAAAATAATTAATATTAGAAAATTTCTTTGCACCTTCTCTCAATAGTTTCCAAGTTAGATAAACATTGGTTGGATATTTAAAAATTTGGAAAGGAACTACTCAAAAATACTTTTGTGTACTCTACTTTCATATGACCAATTATAGGGTAATTTCACCAGTAGTCATATATTTAAGATGTCATACATCATGCTTTTTTGTTAACTTACTTTCATGTATAAACAAGCACAAAAAACCAGTAATCCACTATAAAAGTAACAATTACTAAAACAAATATATTCAATTGTCTTTGACAACCATCTTCAGGTTTTTCATAGTACAGATAGAAAAAAACTGAAAAAAACTAAATTTAAATATATTGAAACTCATTAATTCCGTGTAGAATATCACATATGCTGATGAATGGTGTGGTGGTTGATGCACGACTTAACTTGAGTGTTCGTTAATTTATAAAATAACTGAAGCTTTATATCTCACCATGAAAATTTATTTACAATCATGTATAACATTTTGCTTTATACTTATTGAGTAAAGTTCGATCAGTTACAAGCATGCACCAGTACAGAACATTCACTTGTCGTGAGTAGTGTAGCCGAGAGAGAGAGAGAGAGAAAAAGAATATGGCGGACAGACTGCACATGTTTTAATAGCTCCATCTGGATTTTCAGATGGAGCACTAGGTTACAATTATTTGGCCACTACAAATGGTAAAAACAAAAAAAAAAATTATCATCAAAAGAATTTTCAATATAAAGCTAAAATCATCAATATTTGCTGGATATAATCAATTATTTTGGTAACTATTAAAAAACTATTATAGACAAATAAACAATTGTACACATTAGCCCATTACAAATAAACAAATTTCTTATGTCCTTCTAATCCAATGTTCACCAGAGGTCAAAAATCTCTCAGAAGACTATTTTAATTCATGGGTCTTTTATTTACTGTATATGCATTTTTTATCGAAGTTTGTACTAATCCCTCCTCAATACACACTGATTGATGTAAAATACTGGGAGAAGAACTCTGTCATAAAATACACTTACATTGTGGAAGGATTTGTACCGACTGATCTGAAATGCATATAAATAAAAGATCCACAAATTAAAATTATCTTATGAGTGGTTCTTGACCTCTGTGAACATCAGATTATAAGGACATAACAAATTTAATTAAAATGCCTCAATGTCCTTTTTTCTTACTAAAATGTAAATTTTCAACTATGGTTTTCTGTTATGGAATAAAATAAAAATTGTTTTCTGTTAAACTTTGTAGCATTATCTGTAAAGTCAGTATAATAAGTCCTGATAATAGAAGATACTAATTTATAGTCGAAAATTTACATAACAAATTTGTTTATTTGTCTAAAACTTCTTTTCAGTGGTTACCAAAATAAAAGAATTCTCAATAAATTATAAATTAATAGTAAAACCTGCACTCTCAACCTAGGTTTGACACAAAAATACAAATGTGGTGACACATGTCTCACGTTCTATCTAAATTAGTTTAAAACTCGCAGATTGGAAGATGTGCCATCCAACATCATTATCAATGACATCAAGAAATGTTTAAAACACCCACATATGGGCCAGCAGCCTATATGTGAGTGTTCTTTTTAATTTACTCAAAACTGCTGCAAGGTGCTGTAAGTGTTATGTTATGGTGTGCATTTGGATGAGGTGATATGACAAATCCAGATTTTATCTCTGGTCATATTAATGATGTAGGACACCAGCAAGTACTAGATGTGCACATAATACTATTTGCAGAAAAAATTGGAAGGACATTTTTTTCAATTTCAACAAGACAATGCACCCATTTATAATACAAAATTAACTTGGGACTGGATTCTGGCAAATGGTATGCAACTGGCCCCCACATCCTCCTGATCTTAATCCTACGGAAAACATGTTTGGAATTTTAGAAAGGAAAGTATATAGGAGTGAAAAGCAATATACATCAGTGGAATCATTAAAAATGGCAATAACTGATGCTTGGCACAAAATTGCAGATGAAAAGAGGAAAAATTTTATTAAAACAATGCTAGATAAAGTTTACAAAGTAATTAATAAACAAGGTGGATATATTCCTTATGAATAATTAATAAAGTCACTAATTATTTAAATATTAACGTGGCTCAGTGGTTCTGTCATTTTGGGACTGTTATATTTTATATGAACCAATCACTGTAAACAATTGAGTTATTTTTGCTATTATTAATAATTAGGTACTAAGTAATTTGGTAGTAAAGGTAGATGTTAGGTGCTATCTTTAGATAAAAGATAGCACCTAATATCAAATTACTTAGTATATCAAATGACTTAGTATCTAATTATTAATAGTAGCAAAAAATAGCCTGACTAATTATGGCGATCTTTTGGTTTATTATTAATACATCGGGCTTAGTGATTTATATATATATATCCTATTACAACATTGTTAAAACTCATTTATATTTTTATTTTATTACTGTTTTTCTGATAAAATTATTATTATATAATATCAGAATAAACCAATAGTTATTTTCATTCTATAGTCTTGTAATGTGCTTTTTATTTTTTTATTAGTGTCATTATTTCACAGTGGCTCTGTTACTTCAGAACTGTCTGTATGTGTAACTTGGGCAAGGACGATTTGTGAAGAAGCCAGAATTTTGAAATTCCATTTAAGGACGAAGGTTAAAAATCAATTTATTGAAATTCCATGTATTTGAGGTGAAAATCTGTCATGTAAAATCTACGGTCTGATTGCTTGTCATGTGCAATATGTTAGTTGAGTTAAAGATTGCTATCTATTTACATTGATCTTTATAACAAATTTTTATTTGGATCTTCATGACAGGCATTTAACATGCACAATGTCATGATGACAAAATCAATTTTAGAAAACAAGGATATGTGCAACTGCACATTTAAAACACTCACATATAGGCTGCTGGCCCATATGTGGGTGTTTTAAACATTTCTTGATGTCATTGATGATGATGTTGGATGGCACATCTTCCAATCTGCGAGTTTTAAACTAATTTAGATAGAACGTGAGACATGTGTCACCACATTTGTATTTTTGTGTCAAACCTAGGTTGAGAGTGTAGGTTTTGCTATTAATTTATAATTTATTGAGAATTCTTTTATTTTGGTAACCACTAAAAAGAAGTTTTAGACAAATAAACAAATTTGTTATATAAATTTTCAACTATAAATTTGTATCTTCTATTATCAGGACTTAATTACAGGATTAAATGACACGTGTAACTCAATCCTCCTGACACATAACAAGGGACCTTTCTAGTTATTGATCTTCTATTTCTTAGAATATCATATACATCAACCACGTGCTCTTAGACAAAGCCCGATTGTATTGAAATTAACAGTCCTCTTAATTTTATTAATCTTCTTCACACATATCTTCTAAATATCTCGGCCTTATCGTTGATACTTGGTGGTTATCCGATGAAAAAAAATTTTTTTTTTCTTTGATTACCTTTACTTGATGATAACTTGAATTCCCTTGTAGTCCATCCGAACGTCCAAGAGCACCAAGGAACAAAAAAAGATCTTCACTCAGATCATACGCTCCTTTTTACAGTTCACTCCATCCGGGGATCTTTCCTGTCACATGGTCTAAAGGTTAGCCAATAGGCAATGTGTAGCCACATGACCCAATAACCGGTGAAATGTGAGAAAACGAACCGCACGTGATATAACCAAAAAGCACCCGACATGGCTAACAAAACACCAATAAAAAAAAACAACAGAAAAAAACAAAACAGGATAAAAATATTTACAATAATCGCATAGCACTACAAATCAGTATGCCAACATTCCCACCAGGATAAACCAGCAATACTGAAATATGATTTTGTGGTCTCCCCAGATAAACCAGCATGCCATTCATTACACAAAATTATGGTATAATTGTGGCATTTCTCTCTTTTGTTTACAACAAAAGTGTAGAGCAACAAAAGATTTCTAGTACATGAATTTAACATAACCTTATCTCATACTGTACTGTGTTGAATTAATGAAGGAACATCAGAGTATTTTCACATTATCAGATAAAGTAACAAAATATATCAACTAGTAAAAAAAATACATATAGATTAACACAAAGGCATCAATACTTTTATTACACTAGAAACATCTTTGAACCTCTCCATTAAAATATTTTTGATATAACACTAATTCTTACATTTTAGTAAGTTTATGTTCAATTTATATGATTAAAAACTGGATATATGTATAGATAAGTTATACACAAATCACAAAGAAATCCAACACAAATTATCATCTATACACGTTCATACAAACATTTTAAGCTATATTGAGTAACCACCTTCATGAACTATGATGTTCTAAAATAGAACTAATATTCTGAATTTGAAAAATTCTATTGCAGGTTTATTGGAAGGCATGTGTGATATCAAATATGTGAAATCCACGATTTTTACGCCGATGTCGGAAAAATCTTTGTAAACAACTCCGATGGGAAAAACCCACTCTTGGTGAGAAGTATATCGGAGGTCACTGATTGTTTTCACATTAAGGTGGGAAAGTTGACAGTTAGTTGATCGGAATGCACCATAAGTGTCAACAGAAGTCGATCAGGTGACTCATTTCCCACAAATAATGTATAAAAGCTCGAGTCCCCGAAAGCTCCGGGCGATCCCTCGGAAGTTATACTTGGTAGATGTGCCATATTTGTCTCCATACTCCGGACCGACAGGACATATGACCAACCACAGCTGTTTGAACTTCCATCGCCATTAACGAACATATTCAACGAACGCATTTTAGACATATCGGCATAGAGGTATTTGTACTTTTTAGAGCTTTGTGAACTCTCTCTCAGACTAGAGGTAAAGCTATTAGAGCGTCCCTTTTGTATAGTAAACTTATTTAATCGCATTTAACCTATGTATCCTAGCTTAGTTATATAAATAAATGCTTGTTTAGTTTTTAAACCTGTTTCCTGTCTCTGATGTACTGTATAATATATAAGATAGTATACTATCTAAAACACTTCATTTCTAGACATCCCACTCAACATAAAAGAAACTATGTCTCAGTATTCTGTAGTGCTAATGCACTAAATATTTCTTGTTTGTCCTTCTTTCCTTTACTACTTGAAATTTTTCCTTTTCTTACCTCATCTTTTCTTACCCTTCCCTGCACATTCAATTGTTCCATCTTTCTGTTTCATCCTGTCTTTACGGCCTTTTTTCAATCCAGAGGACTGACAACTGGGTTGGCCTGGGAGAGCCACATACATAGAAGAGACCAGATCCCATGGGAATATATAAAAAGAAGTAAAAACAAGAGTGAGACTCTCTTTTTTTCCCCTTTAACGTCAGTGGTTAAGGGACAAGTGTGAGGAGAAAGGATTATGATCTAGAGAAGATTGAGAACTTCCAGGGGAGACAGGAACTGATTCAATCCATCCCAATCAGACAGTACTGGACTAACAATGAAGATGATACAAACCAGATGTGGATATTAACCAGACATGTCATCTGTGAATGATATTTTGTTTCAAGTGGGTGTAAAACATGGTGTGTGAAACAAGTGTTATCTATTCTGTAATATTGGTCTGCCCCTCATGTTTCATCTTCCTTCTTTCTTTACTCTCACATCAAATATTTCCCCTCCTAATAGATTCATGCATGTTGTGTACTTAGTCTATAAGTTATTTCTGTATTGTCAGTTAGAAGTTATGTACTTGAAATTTGGCAAACTTAACTATTAGTAAACAAAGAAGTAAGGGATTTGGCTGTCAAGCTTAGTAATCATTTGAACAGTTCATATAGTAAAGTTATTGATTAACCAATTTGTTTGTTGCAGTATCAGTTCCTTATCACTTGTGTGTTATGGGAAATTCACAATTCCAAGACCCATGGTAAAACCCTTTGTTTATCCAGCACAATCATACAATCCATACTCTTAAAAGTTTATGGCTTTTAGAGCTTTGATTAAAGACCATATACACAATCCTCATCAACCAAAGATAGAACAAGTGTTAAAATATATCCAAACCATAGCAATACATGTTATTGTGTATTGTAACAACACAAGAATTACCAAAAAGTTAATTACAAAGTATATCTTTGAAAACAATCAACAAGCAAGAGAACAAACTCTGTACAAAGTGACCAGTTACAATGATCTTAGTAGCACTTCCAAGAAAATAGCAAAGACCTCTAACACTATGCATCAGAAACATTATCTCAGAAATAACAAGGAGACTGTGGATAAAAATGTACTTCCGGGTCTCTATACTACTCCAATAAAAGACCCAAGGAGTATATTGAAACAACTACCTGGTCATAAAGCACAAGAAAGTAAGAACATCAAACCACCATTGATAAAGGGCAATTGGACAGGGCTTTGGCCACCTAAGCACTAGTATCTATCCAGTTCAACAATGCACATCTTATCCATCAAGTGTGAGATAAAACACATTAAAATTTTGGAAAAGTTAGAAATTTATAGGACCAACAGAATAAATACATCAAATAATTTCAGGGACTATGACACACTTGCAAATGCATGGTGAGCATTTTTTGAATTGTTGTAGATAGTTTACTACCTTTATTTGACATCATACATGCCTTCCAAACTTGCATTTGAATTTTTTAAATTCAAAACATTAGTTCTATTTTAGAAAGTCATAGTACCTGAAGATAGCTATTCAATATAGCTTAAAATATTTATATGTTTTTGAACTTGTATAGATGATAATTTGTGCTGGATTACTTGGTCATTTCTATATAACTTAGGTTCAATTTGTTTATAATTACTAATATAAAATTATTATTCCTATCTTTAAATAAAAATAAATAGAAATTCTTACCAGTGTTGTGATCAATTTTAAAATATTCATTATCAAATTTTTCATTTATTCTGTAGGATAGCATGGAATTTAGGCCAGAATCATTATCACTTGCAGAGACAACCAAGGGATAGCTTTCATTGGTCCAAACTATACTTCCTGCTTTTAATGACTCTTGAATTTTTCCTTTATATTCTGAATGATGAAAAACTGGTTGGTTGTCATTTCTGTCCAACACATGAATTAGAAGTATTGCAGTACTGTTGCCATTTACTAAATTTGTTGCTTGTATTGTTAAATTATATAATTTTCTCAATTCATAATCAAGCATAAAATTTGTATATATAACACCAGAAGTTGGATTAATAGAGAAATGTTCATTTATATTTCCAGATATTATTTCATAAAAAACAGATGATTGACTTGCAGCTACCAATACTGCAACAGATGTTCCAGGTTTCTCATTTTCATATATCTCTGTCATATATTCATGATGATCAAATTTAGGTGGTGCATTATTTGCTACTGTGACAATTATGTGAACTGTAACACTGTTATTTAGGGGTGGATTACCATGATCTGTCACTCTAATGGTAAGAAAGAATTCAGGCATACTATTTCTATTTAACTGTTTAGAAACTTTTATGATTCCAAAAACTGAATCTATAGTAAAGAAATTCCCAATGTTTCCTATAAATAGAAAAAAAATGTGTACATAAGTAATGAAGTAATTATTAAAGTAGTTTCAGCAAAACAATCTACCAGATGTTCAGTCTAATTTTCATAAGGCTGATTTTAATACTTAAATAAAACAATTTGACTAGAGGTATGCAGTTACACCAGCATCTCTTCATAAATTTAATAATTAAATAAATAATTAATAATAAATAATTTAATTAATTAACTTTTTAATTTTAATTTAGAATGTTATGGAAGAAAAGAAACAGCCTGCAGCAGGACTCAAACCTACAGTTCCTGCTTATCGTACAGATGTTTTGCCAGTTACACTATCCGGATCTCAAAATTGAATGGAAATCCAGGTAGTGCAACTGGAAACACATCTGCACAGTAAGCAGGAGTTGTAGGTTTAAGTCCTGCTCCAAGTTGATTCTTTTCTTCCATAACATTATAAATTAAAATTAAAAATTAATTTATTTATAATTATTAAATTTATCAAAAGATGACAGCCTAACTGCTTACTTCTTGTCAAATTACTATTTGTTTAATTATTGAAATTAGTCTTAAAATATCCCAATAATCCAGTAGATCATTTGGCTTTAATTAAAAATTAGGTTAGTGGATTTTATATATATACAGTCAAACTTTGAGTTTCAAACACCTTGCTTTTTGAACAATTTAATTTACAAACAAAATTTTGAATGTCATATTTTCCCCAGTTGCCATATGATAACTCAGTTTCTGATTAAGGCACTCAGCAAAGCTGGCCACCAATGATGAACTCCCTGTAGTTCCTGTGTTAAAGAAAGTCAACAACATGACAATCAATGACGGGACTACCAGTTCAGAAGTTAGTGGCACCGAGATCATCTCGCATCATATAGCGAATCATCGATGATATTGTAATTTAAATTGCATTTTAATGAACATGCAGGGAAGAGACTATTTTCATTTTTCATATACACCACAGTTAAATTTAAATAAAATTAATTAATAAAAACCGTGTTAATCAACACTTAGGTAATATAAATGGTATTCAAGAATTTGTGTTTAAATATGCTTAGGTTAAATTAAATGAAAAAAATCTATTAATATATTATTATATAGTATAATATTAATATTTAATATTTATTAATACTAGGTGCCCAGTTAATTAAACTAAAATGATAATTAAACTTAAAAATAATACAATAATAATTAAAACTGGCCTTTACACTGAAACTAAAACTAAAACTAAAACTAAAAATTAAATTAAATTAAAATTACAATCAAATCACATCAATTGAAACACAGTATTTCTGAAAGTGTGGATGAAGTACTTGTTATCTGTCTTGATTGATTTTGTTATATTTCATGCAGGCAGTCAGAGTTGAGTTGTGTCTATTTATAACACTTCTATGTACAGTGCTAGTTTCCGTTTGATTGGTGGTGACATAACATTTTGCTTTTAATATATAAAAATAAAACTCAAGATTTCCAACCTTATAAAACTACAGTTGGTAAATGTGATTAAGCATAATATAAATTCAAATTATCATTAATGTTTCATTTTTGTACACAAAGTAAAAATAAAATGAAACTTTAAAAATAAATATTACCTGAAGTAATTGAATAAGATAACTGTGCATTCTTTCCTCTATCTCTGTCAATTGCTTTTACTTCTATAACAGTTGCTCCTAAAGCTGATGTTTCAAGAATAAAAGCTTCGTACCTTGGCAATAAAAATTCTGGAGTGTAGTCATTATGATCAAATACATTTATAATTACTCGAGCAAAGTCTCTTTTTGCAGGGGTACCATAATCATTTACCATAACAGTTAATATATGCTTCCGACAGAGCTCGTGATCAAGTGAACCTGCTATTGAAACTATTCCTTGCGTTGAATCTATATGAAATTTCTTCTGGCTCTCAACACTGGCACTATACAATTAATGAATTTGTTAAAATATTTTAATAATATATTTAATTGTAAAAATTTGATTTAAATTATGAAAGATTGGTCTATATCAGTGTTCTTCAACCCTGGGCCCATGGACTGGCACCAGTTTGCAGAAATTTCCTGCTGTTATGTGAAAAATTTCATAGACTGATCTCATACTAACAAAAATTGTAATTTTAGAAAATCTTAATAAATAAAATATCTACAATGGTTTTTATTTCTGTCTTAAGGTTATAAGATTTCTTAAATGTGGTTTAATATGAGAAATTTTTTGCCCTAATTATTATGCATTTTAGCCTAAAAACTGATTATAAACTTTCTTTCTTTAATTGGAATTCAAATGAATCATACAGATAAACTAGGTTAAAACTGAGGTTGTGGTATAAGTCAATTTAAAAGATAGAATAGAAAAATAGAGAATGTTTAGGACAATGTTTAATTATGAGATACATTATCTGTGATATTTCCTGAGTCAGGTAAATAACATTTTATCTTTTCATATTTTAACAATGTAATAATTAACATAAGCACATGCTCATTAATGAGAGTTATTGGACTGCTTTCCATAGCAGTGCAGCTGTGCACAATACGTGAAATATTATTCATATTTCACATACTGCGTGTGGATATTTTTATCGGTCCATAGGTGTGAAAAGATTAAAGAACACTGGTCTAAATTACATTAATATTTCTAACAGACTGTAGTAATCTTAGTAAAATTCAAACAATTTCATCAGAAAAATCATATAAGATTGTTGTCTTATGTTATTGTTATGGTATTTTAACATTCATCTTAATTACTGAACACTAAATTTTATGTAAGAACTTACTTATATATAAAGTACCTTGTATGTAGTAACTTGAATGATTTTTCAAGAACAAAACACATGAAATTAGCAAATAAGGAACAGATTTCACTAACACTACAAACTCAGTACATCTTACACAGTAGAAAACAAAGAATAAAACAAAAAGATACAGGATGTTTAAATCTTTTCTAATTTTTACATCACACAATGCCATTGGACCATACATCCTGACATCATAATACAGTGCACCCTGGTTGTCCAAAATATGAGATTAACAAGAAAGCTGTAACCTTCTCAACATTAAGTTTGGTTCTGTATATTACTCTTAGAATATCTAGTATAAAGTAGTTTGTGAACACAGCTCAAAAGGAGCTGAAAACATTCTTTATGTGATGACCTGGAACATATGAATAACACAAGCCTACAAAAAAAAATTTTTTTTTTGGTGCCTAGGATTTTAGAACTGATTTTAGCTATATTTGGGTCACTGAATCCAAATATGAAATCAGTTTTTCTCTATCAGCTCTACTTTTTTAGATCTGTGTCTTTTTTAACATACAGTGTTACATGAAATGTGAAGCTCTAATTCCAGTTTGTACAGTTCTAAATCATATATGCAAGAATTGATTCCTGTATATTTTCCCCATTGTTAGTCTGTCATCCAGTTAGTTCCAGGTAAATCCACCAAATGAAGTAAGCATTTGGTAACGAATTGATGTTCAATGCTTCAACTAGAGTTGAGGTAAGTTTGTAGCCGTGCAGTGTTTAGATCAGTGTTTCCCAACCTTTTTTGTGCTATGCCCCACCTAAGCCTTTCTAAAATTCTTATGCCTCAGTTAAGTATAGAAAAAATTAAAGCAGGAATATTTGACGGCCCACAAATAAGATAACTCATTAACGATCTTGCCTTCGTCAATTCGATGAATGAAGCTGAGCAAAAAGCCTGGACTTCATTTGTTGCAGGTTGTCAGAAATTTTCTAGGCAAATGCAAAGCTGAAAATTATGTTGAACTGGTAAACGAGATGCTAACAGTTTCAAATTCCTTGGGTGTAATATGAGTATTAAGGTGCACTATTTACACAGTCACTTAGACCGTTTTCCTGAAAATTTAGGAGACACCGGTGTGAGATCCGACCCGTGAGCAAACCAATTTGTTTTTCTTTCTTCTAAATTGTCACAACTGTAACATCTTTTGAATAAATTTATCACTTTAAAAAGAAAAAAATCCTCATCGTCAGAAAAACGAAATCAACTATCTCCCTTATATAAACATATTAAGTATCAAGTTACAACTCTCTCCTTTAACATAAACATTCGACCATCTAACAATAGCAGTCGTCTGCAAGTCTTAATGTTGACGATTAAAGTCCAACTTCGACGATTTATTGCAGCTCAAAACCACCTTTAACCTCACACCTGCTAAGACAATGGGTCACATGACGACTTTTCTCATGGCAAAACATATAAAAAGCCTCCTCCTTCTTCAATTGGGGGAGTCGCCAATCGAACGAACAACGATGAAGTCGGACATCGAAGTCTTCCCCATCGCAGACCTCCTCCACCTTGAGCCACACCTCGCACCGCCTTTCAGAAATTTAAGTCAGAAGTATCCATCCAATATTATCTCAGAGGTATGAAATATTATTGTGAACTCTCTCTCTTTTCTATGTTGAAGGAGTTTTGTGTAAATTTTCTTTAGTTAGTCAGTTTAATAAACTCTTGTTTTGTTTTTAAATGGTGTCGTTTACTCGACTGTACATCGTCTTATCGTCGACCCCTCTGATTCTCCTCCACTCGCATAACGCGTAACTGAACGTAACGCCATCCTTGACAAGAAAGTAGGTCACCGACCTGTGGCCATATAGGAGAGGCTTTTCCAACCTCCCCGGCGGCTCACAAGGTGAAGAACAAAATGAAAGATTTCACCAGGATATTAAAACTATGGAGGATTGCTACCAAGGAAGATGGGATACGCATATGATGGCAGATTACTGCTGGAGTTTAAAAAGGGATTGCTCCAAAATACATTCACAAAAGTCACAGAAATGAAGCTTCCTCAATGTGTAACTGTTTAGTTTTATTGATGACTTTTTCCTCTATCTTTGTATAGAATAATATTTGCATAATATAATAATAAAAATTCCATGTTTAGTTTTTTTTACTTGATCCATGGATTTAACTTAAGATAGTAAAACGTATATTTCGCTAAAATGCTATATCTTAAAAATTAGAGCTCCTAGGCAAAAACTAATGCCATATTTGAATTCAGGACATCAAATTCATATGAAATCAGCTCAAAATACCTGGGCACCAAAACCACTGTTGACCTGTGTAATGCATCACATCTTCCACACTATTTCCAGCAAAAGCAATTTAATAAAACTTAACAAAATGAACATTTTTGGCTATGTTAAGTAGCCTGATTCAGGTTTAACATTCAGAAATCAAATGACTAAATTGGAATCTATTTAGATTCTATGATTAAGTTTTATTAAACTGTTTCTACTGGAAATAGTGTAGAAGGTGTTACTTATTACATTTTAAATATAAAATAAAATTAAATACTTGGTAGCCTTAACAAGCAGAATTCATAGATATATTTAAATATGGTACCACATTTTACTAATAATAATATCAAAACAATAAAAAAATAACCTTTTCTTCTTTTCCAGAAGAAATTTTAATAAACAGACAAATGTTTTCAGACTAATTGATAGTCAAACATCCATAAAGGAATGTTTCCATCCTTTATTAGGTCAGCTTCATATTCCTGAAAAATATCAGTCACTGTTCTAACTAAATTTAAACTTTTCAACCATTTTTGAGGATTAAATGATATTTAAAAATACACATTTTCATTCTAAATTTGTAAAAACTCCATGCGCATATAGTATTAACCTTGCTTCTCCACTGCTAAAAGTACAGTAACACTTCCCTAACTCTAACATCTGCAACTCAAATATGTTTTTTTAACTTGAACAAAATGAATCACTCAATAGGTCTCAATGGAACAGCATAAGAATTTAATGTCTCCAACTTGAATTTCCAATTCAAATTTTCTCCAAGACAAAGTTTTTCATGATCCTTCAACACTGATTTATGTTACTTTCAACTTCCCTGACTTGAATTTTAATATTTATTCTATCCAAAGTGATCCTAATTACCTGATTTCTATTAAATTTTCAGATAGTTATATCTACTCTCCAACACCAATTTTCAGACAATGATCAAGTGCAAAGAGACAGGTCCTCTCACTTTATCTCAACAAGATGTACAGTACATGCAAAACTGTTTGATTCCATTAGTACATTGAACATTTTACTGAAACATAACATCAGCTGCTTAAAACAAAAAATAACTATCAAAGGTTCGTTATATAATGCAAGAGAGGCAAAAACACAAATCTATTCAGAATCGACATTTTCTATTCTATTGTTCTCTAACTTGAATCATCCATAACTTGAATCATTTCCTACCCCTTAGAGCAGATGTGGCCAAACTTTTATCCCTTAGGGGATAAAAGTTTGGTCACATCTGCTTTTGCTACTACTTTTGCTTTTGCTACTACTTTTTTGGTAAAATATAGTCTGCGGGCAACTATGAATATGGGCAAACAATTTTAGGATTTTTATATGCGCATGCATTAACATTCATTTGCATTGTTCATCGGGATAAATACAAACAGTATGGGTACGTTGCACAGACAGGTTAAAAATTGAAAGAGGGGGGGCCTTCTGGTATCACTCGTAGGTATAACCAAGAAGGTAGGAAAGAACGGAAGGTAGAAGAGTTGCGAAGTGTAGGGGATGATATTGGGGCAGGAAAAGGTGGGAGCTCATGGCGCCTGATCGCATTTATTTAGAAATAAACAAAGTACAAGATAGATACATTAAACAGTGTAACGGTAAAACAACACAAAGTAGAAATTTACAAAAATGTTGGCGCGACAATGATATCCTTATGTAGCAAAGTATGAACAGAATATATATATAAACCGACATTAAGAGTTGTACAGAAAAGGGTTGAGGAGACGAAGAGAGCATAGACCTCAATAAGAGCACGCGGTGACAATAATACAAATGATGCCGTATACTGAGAGGAAAATTCCACAGACAGCAGGGTGAGGAGTTGGTTGGGTTAAGTCCGCTCAAACAGAGCAAAGAGTCCTGAACTGCTGGTGCACATATTTGAAGACGGGAGGAAACCTGATGTGGCGTAGATCAATGCGATGCGATGGTTCGTCGTTGTCGGTTGTGTGAGGGTTGCGCCGAGGGCAGAGCGCTGCCGTTGATGTGAGAAACTTTTTGAGGCTATTGTAGATATCCTTGTTTTCAAGCAGAGTATCAGGAGAACAAGGCCAGTTGAAGCCTGCATACAGAACACATCCGATGAGATTGTTTCTTTGGTGATCGAAGAGGCTGCAGTCCAAGAGATAATGATTACTGTCTTGTATTGCAGTATCGTCGCAGTGACAGACACCAGATTCCCTTAGGCGGAAACGATTTAGGTATGCGTTGAAGTTGCCATGACCCGTAAGTAACTGGGTCATGATAAAGGAAGGCGTGAGGTGCTTCCACTCTAGACGATGTGAGATATTGGGGATGTAGTTGTGGGTCACCCGACCGGTGTCCCCGCCGTCCCATTCATTTTGCCATTCTTGAAGGGCAAGTTGACGGCTCCATTGTTTGATTTTCGAGAGTGGGATTCTGTTGTAGGTGGAAGGGAGCGAAGAGGTAGCAGCAGTCTTAGCCAGATGGTCGGCGGCCTCGTTCCCAGCGACCCCAGAGTGCCCTCGCACCCAGTTGAAGGAAATGTTGTGCTTGTGCTTGTGCTTATTGATGGAGAGCAAATGGTGGATATGCAGAACGTTGGCACCTCTTTGCTTAAGGTTCGTGATAGAATGGATCGCCGTGATGCTGTCAGAGTAGATGGCGATGGTTTTATTTGGAGGAAACCAGTCTGCGTAAACATGATCAAGGGCTTTGACAATGGCAAGAATCTCGGCTTGTGGAACCGAGCAATGGGGCCCTAGTTTGTAGGCTGACCGATGGATGTTACCGTTATGGTGGTCATATAGAACAAAAGCCGCCCCCACGTTGATGTCGTCCTTGCTTCCGTCTGTGTAGATGGAGAAGTCGGATTCATTGGATGACTGGGAGTCACTGTTTATGAACGGGTAGTCTTGGAGAATATTAAGTTGAATGTCTTTCAGTTCAATACCAGAAGAAAGAATGTCTTCTTTCAGGTGGGTAGGGAGGTCAGAAAGAATACTTTTGTTTTTATCATTGTTGAGAGGGTGGCAGTTACTGAAGAGGTTGTTGGCATTCCAGTTTCTGTGAATCATTCTGGCCTTGATGTGAACTGGGGTGATTCCAGTAATCACCAGCAGGGCAGCAGTGGGAGCAGTCCGGTAGGCTCTACAAATACGGAGAGCAGCCACTCTTTGGGCTTTGAGGAGTTTGCGTTGTATGTAAACTTTGGAGGTGGCATCAGCCCAGATGGGGGATGCGTAAAGAAGGATAGGTTCTATAGCACCTAAGTAGATATTCTTGGCTGCATTATAGCCTATGCCCCAGGTATTACGGGCAATGCTGATGAGTGCGTTCGATGCCTTTGTTGCTTTGGCAACCACCATATCCACATGGCTGGTCCTCTGGAGCTGTTGATCAAGTTTCACGCCTAGGTAAGTTAGTTCTTTTACCCGGGAGATGCGTACACTGTCAATTTCGATGCGAGGGGTCTTTTGAAGTGGGGTATTCTTTGAAAAGATGATGAATGAGCACTTCGAGTAGTTAATAGGAAGCTTACTGCTCGAACTCCAGTTCGAGATCTTGGCTAGCAGGTCATTCATCAGGATTGGGAGTCTATCGCTGTTTTTGTCCGAGATCACAGCCACAGTGTCATCAGCATAGCCTTGTAAGAAGTAGTTATTAATAAGTAGTTATTAATTGTGTTGTTGTTGTTTATGCTTGCGAGGAGATCACTGTGGACAATTGTCCAAAGGCCGGGCCCGGCAATAGAACCTTGTGGGCAACCCTTTGTAACCTCATGGATGTAGCTGATGTTATTGCTAAAGAACCCTGCTTTCTTTTCACTGACGAAACTCCTTATGAGGCAGAAGAGGTTCCTTGGGCAGTGATGAATTTGGAGTTGCCGAAGAATAGCCGGCCACCAGAGGTTATCGAACGCACCACGGAAGTCGATGGAAACAAGTAGCGGTGTGCTTGCCGTTCTCTTTGGCACGTTTGATGTGATCAGTAATTGTAGATAAGGCTGTAATCGTTGATTTCCCTGGTGTAAAGCCGTGTTGGTGGGGGCTGAGGGCATTTTTTCCTCCTCAGGAAGTTGAGAATCCTGGTAATGAGAAGCCTATCCAGTACCTTACCCATGATTGGCAACAGGCTTATTGGCCTGTAGTCTTTGGCATAGTGCGGAGCGTCATTAGGACGCTTATTAATAAATTTAATGGAAGCTATTTTCCAGTCTCTGGGGAAGTACCCCAAGGCCAGGCAACGATTGTAAAGTGTGGTGAAGGTAGTAGGAATGGCAGAGAAGGCTTCTTTGACCATCCTGCCGGTGACATGGTCTATCCCAGGCGCCTTTTTGATATTTATGAGGCTGATGGCGTGGTTGATGTCCCTGTAGGTGAAGAGGGAGTCATCTGTCTGATTGGATGGCTGGGATGAGTTATTCCGAGTCTTCCGCAGGGTTGTCCAGTGGGAAGTGGTAATTAAATAGCTGTTTGAGAGTATTATCCAGAGAGCTGGTGTATTCATCCTCTGATATTTTGACAGGTGAAGGAATGTCTACTTTCTGTTTCTTTTTGAAGGCGATGTAATACGGTTCACACCAGGGGTCGTTGAATCGGTTACAGAATTTTGTCCAGGCATAGTGACGCTTTTTATTAATTAAGGATTTATATTCATTGAATTTTGATATATAATTGGCTCTTTGCATGGCCCTGGTCTGGGTATTATTCTGATGCTGGTAGAGCCTACGTAAACTACGGACTACTTTGCGGAGATTGGCCAGTTCCCTGTCCCACCAAGGAGCGTTCGTCCTCAAGTTAGTTTTCTTTTTGCTGGTGAAATGATAGCTTTTTAAGAGTAGATTTGTGAGATTTTCAATGCAGTTGTCTATGTCGTTCTTGTCCATGCTGGTAATAGGTAGAATAGGGTTCCAATTGTTTTGGATCAGTTGCCGGTAAGCAGGCCAGTTGGTATGATGGTAGGAGGCGGTAGAGTGGATGGCATCTGTATCTGCATGGATCACGATCTTGATATACCGGTGATCACTTGCACTCGGCTCTATCATAGTGCTGCAATAAGAGACCCTGTGAGCCATATGGATGTTAGCGAGGGTAACGTCTACCCAGCTGTCACCCCTCGATGAGTGGTAAGTTGAAAGGGGGCTGGAGTTGCAAGAAGTGAGATAGAGAGCAGCTACAAACTCCTGCATGCGAAAGCCCCTACGATCCTCAATAGGGCTGTGCCAAAGGTAGGACTTTGCGTTAGTATCGCCACAAATCAGCCAGGGTTTGTCGGCGACTGTCCTACTGATCGTGTCAAGATCTTCGAGCATAAGGTTGATGTCCTCAAATGGCGAGCAGTAGATGGAGGAAACAATGAAGTTGCCATTAGAGGAATTGATCGTGCAAGTGGTGACATATTTGGTTGATAGGTGAGGCATGTACTGGGCCATCAAATGCGGGTTTCTCACCAAGATGGCAGTTTTGCTGTTATGCATCATGCCCTTGGGAGGAAAAGTCCTCCAGCTGCCAAAACTCGTAAGCTCCCCTTTGAATAGGTACGGTTCTTGGATCAGAATCAGGTCAGAGCTCCAGTCCTCAGCAGTTTTGATTAATAAAGAAGAAGGAGCCTTTCCTCTCTGCAGGTTGATCTGTAATAAATTAAGCGAGTTCCTGTACTGATTGATGATGATATTTGAGGTTAGATTGGAGTCTTGGGTGGTGCTGGTTGAATCCTGGGTAAGTGAGTTCCTCGTGGTATTCGTAAGGTGTTCATAATCCATAATTGGTCTGCCTGATTGTCTGAGCTTTCAATTTTAATGTTATGGGGCATTGAGGGTTGAAGGCATTGTGGTCTGTAGCGCTATGACATAGACAACGCTCACATCACGCAAAAGACAAATTTACATCTTAAATTAATCTAAAATTGAAACAAGTTAAGAAAAAATATATATATATTTTGGCGGGTAGGGTTAAGTAGTAATAAGGTAATCGGGTTTTATTTTTTTCGCAGACGATCTATCGTTACATTTTCGGCGCCTTCACTATGACGGCGCCCGATGCGGTTGCACCGTTCGTACCGCCCTAGGGCCGCCCCTGGTCAAATGGGAAGCTGAGATTAAATATTGAAAGTATGAAATCAGTAATAAAGCAAAATTGTGGTTTTTTTCATTATTGGCTCCGACCTATGGGCACTAACAAGGAGTACTACATCTATGTTTCCTACCGATTTTGATAAATTTTGGCACAAAAGTAATGCTTGCATATGATAATGAGATTCCTCTAACCGTTTCATTCTACGGCCTATAATGAGCGAATTATCGAGGTTAATAACAAAACTTTTCTCTCATCATGTTTTTTTCTTTGTATTTCCTAACTTCTAGTACATCAGGCAAAATGAGCAAGCCTCTAAATAAAAAGATAAGTAGTCCGAAACGCAAAGAAAAGTTTCTTTCTTATGATAGATTATGGGGCAGTCACACAAGTATGGATTCATTCAGAAAATTCTTAACAAATGGCGATACACGAGAAATTATTTTAAAAATTGTACCTTAAGGCCAATGTCAGATGAGCGTGATTTTGCTCATGAGCGACAGTGTCCGTCAAAAATGACGGACGTCACGAATTGCAAAAACATACGGAAACGGTCATACGGACGGGCACGCGAAAAAATGACGTTGCGCTGCTCGAACCTGCTGGATCGTCCACGATAATCTTATGACGGAGCGTGACCAATATGTGCTGGAAGATACACTGGAAGCCTACTGTTGTCAGACGAGCGCGAAAAACAATGACGTATTTCTGCACCGCTTCTACCTTTCCTAGTAAAGGTTATTAATATAATAGCCAAAAATAATTACTATTGAGAATCTACTAGATGCTACTCATCGATTGCGATAATAACTAAAATAAGCTCACAGCATGAAATGACTTCTTTGATTTATCGGTTAGACTTAATTTTTCAAGTTTTATTAATTAAAATATTAATGTAACTGTTTATAAGTTTCATTAAAATATTGATGTAAGTGTTTTTAAGTATGTTGATATAACTATTAATATACATTAATGTAACTAATATGGAAAGTATTAGTGATACTTAAAAATTTAACCATGGTTGAAATAAAACTACTCTCTCCAAATAACAAGTGAGTTGGCATTTTAATGAATTATGCGAAAAAAAAAAAAACATGCCATTGACTTTCTCTTGCTGCTCTCTTTTCTTAAGTAGATCAGCGCCTGCGCAATCGAATTACTATATTATTCGTTCTTTATGAGAAGTGGTTCCAAATTCAAATAGTCATTGTCGGGATAAAAATCGTCTGGCACTCAGTTTTCCCGCCTTTTTATGAACGACCGTCGTCGCCATAGAAACAGCGATCAGACCATTTTGAAAACTCGACCGCTCATTGGTTAAAAGACATCAGACCATCGGCAGACATCTTATAGAGCTGGTAAATGCTGATTGGTGGAATCCAATACTGTTTCAATCCTATAAAAGCATTGGAGTTCTGGCGGGAAGATCAGTTTGCTTCGGACATAGGAAGTGAACTCACGCTGACCTGAGTTCGCCTAAGTGGTTTTAGAAGTTTGCCTCATCTTGTTGTATTGTTGTGGACCTTGAATTTGTGCGTCGCAAGGTGCTTTTCCGACGGACCTGTTGCAGTGGATGATTACTTTGAACTTTGTTAATATCTAATGTTTGTAATTCTTATATGTGAACTTTAATTGTAACTGTACATACGTTTATTTTCAATATACATTAAGTTTTAAATTTAACTGGCTCTGAAGTGTTTTTGAACTTGACTGTCATAACTCGGTTATTATTGTCCATAGAATGAAACGATTTGTATGACTGCATTATCAAATCAAACACTACAAAAGAAGTGTTTGATTTTATAATGCAATCTAGTAATGCAATTTGATAGTGCAGTCTAATAATGCAAGCCTAGTTTGATAATGCAAACTATCTAGTAGTAGATTCTCAATAGTAATTATTTTTGAAGATTACATTAATATTAATAATGTTTATTCAAGAAAGGGAGAAGCGATGCAGAAATAATTTTCCAAGGAGAAAAGCTTGGAGACAATTAATTACAGCAATACATTTTTATGTAATTAATTAATTTTGGGGTTTTTTTACAAGTAGATTACAGAATACTGTACTGCAGTATTGCATTAATACAAAAAGACAAAGTATCCCGTAGTGGAGGACATAAGGTTACATATCTCAATCACTTTTACAATTACAGTTTGTAGAGTTTTTTACTCGATCTCAGGGGAGAGCAAGTGCTTCCTTTGCCCCTTCTGAGACCGCCCATTCTTGTAGGCTACTGTTCACTTGTACAGTATTCTGTGCCGGATCAAGCCTCTAGCGGGCCTTAGACAAA